CACCCTCTCTGACTCGCCCGACTTGAAGTTGCCCTGCGATGCCTTGAAGCCTGGGGGGTGGGAAGGAGAGATACGGAGGGGGAGAGATGAAGAGAGGGGGGGGGGGAGGAGGATTTGAGGATGGAAGAGGAGCGCAGGGCAAACATGAACACCCGCTCTGACTCGCCCGACTTGAAGTTGCCCTGCGATGCCTTGAAGCCTGGGGGGGGGGGGAAAGGGGGGAAGGAGAAGGGAAGAGGAGAAACAGAAGGGAAGAGGTTTTGTATGGAGGGGTAGAGTGGGAAGGCGGCAGGGTTGGCGTCAGCAGGGGCCATGGAGCGCAGGGCAAACATGAACACCCGCTCTGACTCGCCCGACTTGAAGTTGCCCTGCGATGCCTTGAAGCCTGGGAGGTGGGGAAGGAGGGATATGGAGGCAGAAAGATGAAGAGAGAGGGGGGGAAGGAGGGATATGGAGGCAGAGAGATGAAGAGAGAGGGGGGGAAGGAGGATTTGAGGAGGGAAGGGGAGCGCAGGGCAAACATGAACACCCGCTCTGACTCGCCCGACTTGAAGTTGCCCTGCGATGCCTTGAAGCCTGGGGGTGGGAGGGGGGAAGGAGAAGGGGGAGCAGGAGGGGAAGAGGGAGGGAAGGGGGAGAGGAGGAGAGAGGGCGAAGAGGAGGCATGGGAGGGGAGTGGTGGAGGAGGAGGAGGATGAGGAGGGAGAGGAAGTGAGGGGAAGAGGAGTGTTTTATACGGAGCAGCAGACACACGCACACATCCACATACCCGTTTGAGGCGCATCTAAAGGGCTGGTGGGAAATGTAATACGCACCGAGGAAGTGGAAGCGCCTGAGTCCCACGACTAGGCCATCCTGTAGGAACTTAATGTAGGGGGTCATTCCCTGGTTGGAGTTCCTGGCAGGCGGGAAGGTCACCTGTGTTTGGGACGCACGCGCGCACACACACACACACACACACACACACATACACACACACACACATACACACACACACACACACACGCGCGCGCGCGCGACAAGACACTCATTTGCATGCACGCACACAGACGCACCATGCATGCATGCATGCACACCCTCACCACACCCACAAAGGTACAAAATCACGAAGCATTCACATTCACAGAGGCAGGCATGGTGTGGTGGTGAGAGGGGAGGGTGAACGTGTGCACTGGAAAGAGGCAAGCATGGCATGTCATGCCATGACATGGTGTGGCTTGGTGTGATGGCACGGCATGGCACGGCATGGCAGGGCATGGCAGGCAAGTGAGACTGCACACAACTTTCTCAAAAGGATTCCTTCCACCAAGATATGCCGCATCATTCATCACTTAACAGCACACCATACCACACCCATCACAAGCTGACTCACTCTTAAGATCCTGTCACGGCCTAATTGCCGGTGTGCCACTGTGTAGCCCGGTTCCGCACACACGTCCTGCAGGCGAGGCGAGAGAAAGGGTAGGAGATTCGAAGAGCATGAGCGCGCGAGGCAAGAGGAAGAGTAACCTGGGGGTGTGCCTAATTGCCGTTTTGCCACTGTGTAGCCCGGTTTGCCACTGTGTAGCCCGGTTTGCCACTGTGTAGCCCGGTTTGCCACTGTGTAGCCCGGTTTGCCACTGTGTAGCCCGGTTCGGCACACACGTCCTGCAGGCGATTCAAAGGAGACGCAGGAGGAACGATATATGATTCGGAGAGGATGTTTGAATCAAGACTTGATTACGTAGTCTGGCTTTGCATACACGTCCTGCAGGAGAGGCGAGTGAAAGAGCGGGTGACACGGAGAGTATGTGCAAGGGAGAGAGAGGGCGAGCGCAGGGGAAAAGGTGTCACAGTCGAACAGAGAGGCAATGGAGCATGGCATGTGGTATATGGGACGTGGCAAATGGTATGTGGCATGCGGGCAGCAACGCAAGCGCAAGCTATCAGGGCAAGGAGGCGCTGGAAAAGTCATTTCAGCAGCACAGCAATGGTGCGTGCGTGCCTGCGTGCATGCATGTGGGGCATACAATGGCGGCGATCTTGGGTTGTCTGTTGTTGACGTCCTCCTCTATCCGCACCTCCAGGTATGCCTGCCTGCTCTCATCAAACAGCCGCTCCCCTGCTCCTGGCTGCCATGTCCGCTCAACCCATCCACATACACGCACGCACATACATGCACATGCATGCACACATGCACACGCATGCATGCATAAAGAGTGAAAGGAAGACAATGAGTCAATCCCGTTCTGCTCTGCTCACGCCCTGTTGCAGACATAGAACAGCGCGGAACGTGGGTGGGTGAAAGCGCAGTTGCTCAGAAGGGGGACAATGACAATGGTTAATGGCAAGCGAGCCAAACCAACAGCAAAGCACACACGGATTATCCACAGGCAGTGAGATCATGCCCTGTGCATGAACACACGCGTCTCCCCATGCACCCACTGAGCAGCACACAGCAGGCAGCAAGAGAGTACCTCGCTCATGCGGCGCTGGGGATGGCTGGGCATGCGGCGCAGGAACTGCTCTGCCACTGGCACCGGCACTAGCGCTAGGGCCTCCACCTCCTCCTTTGATAGCATGTCGATGAAATCACTGCTCTCACATGGGGAGGAATGGGAGGAATGGGAGGAATGGGAGGAATGGGAGGGATGGGAGGAATGGGAGGAATGGGAGGAATGGGAGGGATGGGAGGAATGGGAGGAATGGGAGGGATGGGAGGAATGGGAGGGATGGGAGGAATGGGAGGAATGGGAGGGATGGGAGGAATGGGAGGGATGGGAGGGATGGGAGGAATGGGAGGAATGGGAGGGATGGGAGGGATGGGAGGAATGGGAGGAATGGGAGGGATGGGAGGGATGGGAGGGATGGGAGGGATGGGAGGGATGGGAGGGATGGGAGGGATGGGAGGGATGGGAGGGATGGGAGGGATGGGAGGGATGGGAGGGATGGGAGGGGTGGAAGGGATGGGAGGGATGGGCGCATGGGGGGCATGGTGGGCATGGCATGGGCCCCAGCTGCTATTCATATATGCCCCTTCGAGATTTTTCAGAAGTGATAGAGATGAGCCAGTCATGCCAACGAGCCCCCCCAGCAGCAGCTGATATGATTCAGTCGCACGCATTGTGATGCAGAAACCGGATCAAACGAAAAAAAAAACTCACAAAACAAAAGAAGGGATACAAGTGAACACGACCGACTGCCCCACCCACCAGCCAATGATCATGTCAAGAAGGTAGCGGCGCATGATGGGAGGCACGACGGACCCCAGCAGTGCTTCTTAAAGGTGCTACATACAAGAGTACAGCTATGCTGTGACAGTGCCACCCACTCACCAGCCAATGATCATGTCAAGAAGGTAGCGGCGCATGATGGGAGGCACGACGGACCCCAGAAGCAGCACAACAGCAACAGCTGTGCTTCTAAAGGTGGTACAAGTGTACAGTTATGCTGTGACAGTGCCACTCACCAGCCAATGATCATGTCCACCAGGTAGCGGCGCATGGGAGGCATGCACCCCAGCAGCTGCTACATTTCTGCCCCACACACCGTTCCAGAAACGATACACGTACACACACGAAACGACTGCCCCACCCACCAGCCAATGATCATGTCCACCAGGTAGCGGCGCATGGGAGGCATGCACCCCAGCAGCTGCTACATTTCTGCCCCACACACCGTTCCAGAAACGATACACGTACACACACGAAACGACTGCCCCACCCACCAGCCAATGATCATGTCCACCAGGTAGCGGCGCATGGGAGGCATGCACCCCAGCAGCTGCTACATTTCTGCCCCACACACCGTTCCAGAAACGATACACGTACACACACGAAACGACTGCCCCACCCACCAGCCAATGATCATGTCGACCAGGTAGCGGCGCATGGGAGGCACGCACCCCAGCAGCTGCTACATTTCTGCCCCACACACCGTTCCAGAAACGATACACGTACACACACGAAACGACTGCCCCACCCACCAGCCAATGATCATGTCCACCAGGTAGCGGCGCATGGGCGGCATGGACCCCAGCAGCTGCTCCTGGGGCGAGATCAGCTTGGGCAGAGACGAGGTCTTGCGCATGACGCCCCCTGTGCGCTCCACCACCGCATCCTGCCTATTCTTCCGCTCGTTCCGCGTGGGGCCTTGCAAGTGTTTCAAACGGCTCTGCAAAAGAGAGGGAGGGAAGGGATAGGAAAGCAGGATAGTGCGTGGGTGGGATAAGGGCAGCGAGGACGTCTTGCGCATGCTCCTTGTTCGCTTCAGCACCTCTTTCCGCCTCCTCTGCCGCTCGTGCCGCGTGTGGGGCCTTGCTTGAGCATTGGACGGTTTTGGAGAAGCAAGGGGCGGAACGGAAAAGCAGGGAAGGGAAGGAGGGAAGAGTCTGGGAAACGGGCTGGACGAAGGGGGAAAAGAACAGGGATAAATGAGGAAGCGGGATAGTCAGGATGTGTGAGAGAAAGTGCTTGTTCGAAGAGAATTGCACGAAGCTGGCAGCAGCAAAGCGAAGTGAACGAGGGGCACCATGCAGCAAAGTGCGGCATTGAGCCATGAAGATCGATTGATGCTTCACAACACTTGAACTAGATGAATCACTTGGGTAAGACTCACTTCAGGAGTCAGCAGATAAATTGCAGCTGCCAGTCTCTCGTCCATTCTCTGCTGCTGCTGCGTCGGCTGCATCGGCTGCGTCGGCTGTGTCTGCTGCTGCGACGGCTGCTGAGGCTGCTGCTGCTGCTGTTGCTGATTGCGCTGCTGTGCTTCTGGGGTTGGACCGAGTGTTACAACATCAGCTTGCTGCTGCAGCAGCGGTGGTCGATGCGTCTGCTGCTGCTGCGTCTGCTGCAGCGTCTGCTGCTGTGTCTGCTGCTGTGCCTGCTGCTGTGCCTGCTGCTGCGCCTGCTGGCTCTGCTGCAGCTGCTGTTGCTGCCGTTGCTGCTGCTCACGCAGTGGTGCAACAGAGGAGGAGACACCAGGTGCACGGGCGGGAGAAGCAAGGGGGGAACTGCTGCGACCTAACACAGGGGGAGGCGCCGTTGCCCAGGCTGCTGTGCCTACTCCTCTCTCTCCACCTTGCACCCCACGCCACCGCGCCGAACCACTCTCATTCACAACCTGCCCCACTCCCCTGCCTTCTCCTGCCGCTTGTCCCTCGGCCAACCCCTCTCGCCCCTTGCTCCCAGCACCACCCACTTCACCTCGACCCCCCGCGCCTGCAGCCCCGACTCCCCCCGCGCCCGCGCCAGCCTGCTTCCGCCGCCGCAGCCCCTCCCCCTCCCCTTCCGCCTCCCCCTTCCCCCCGAACAGCTGCCTCGACGTGACTGGCCGCTCCCCTCCGATCGCGAAGCCACTGCGCGCACCCTCCCGACCCCCTCCCTGCGCGGACAGCCCCCTCTCCCCCGGCGACTCCCCCTCCCGCTCAGCGCTTCTCCCCGCGAACTGCCGCTTGGGCCTGTGCTGGTAACTGTCGGACCCCGACGGGGATTCGGGCGGAGTTCCGAACGCCTCTGTTCCGCCTGACCCGATTCCGGAGCTGCGCTCGCTGCTGCCCCTGCCCCTACTGCTGCTTCCGCCGCTGAGGCCGCTGTTGCCGCCGCCGCCGCCGCCGCCGCCGCCGCTGCTGCTGCTGGTCCGCGTAGGGGAGCTCCCCACGTGCGCGCTGCCGTCGCTGCGCTGCCGCGTCTCCCGCTGTCGCTGCTGATTCCGCACCTCCCGCACCTCCCGCTGCTCACGCTGCTCCTGCTCCTGCGCTCGTGCCGAGTAAGGCGCTACTTTACCCCCCCATACCCTGCTCGTACCCGCTCCGCTCGCGCTGCTGCTCGGAACAGAGCCGATCCCGGGACGACCGAGCGCGCTTGCGGTCGGCGGAACTCCCGCTCCCCCTACTCCTCCCCCGACGCCCGCTCCCGACACCATCGGCGGCTCCGACGCTCCTCCGCCGTGGCGCGGCGCAGCATCGGCGCTCCAATCGGCGCGGGAGCGGCGGCGGCGGGCGGGACTCGTGACGGCGGCGGCGTCCGCACCACCACGGCTGCGCAACTTGTCCGCATGCGGATGCGGGAGCGAAAACGGCCTCGTCTTCGTGAAAATATCTAGATCGCTTTGCCGAAGGCTCCTAGAAGGCGATTCTGGCGCTATGGGAGGAGTAGAGCCGTGTCCCGAACCCTCATCGCCGGCACCGCCATTGCCATAGTCGTCTGGACCGGTTTCCCTCTCTCCGTTGAATGACGCATTTCGTCGCGACGGGACAGGCGACAAAGCGTTGCAGAGAGTGGATGACGTGGCGGTCCAGAACCGCTGAAGAAGCGAAAACGGCGCGGAAGCCACGGTGGCGCGGTTACCGTTGACCGCGATGCGGAAAGCGTCAACCCGGAAGGCGTGAAGCGGCGATCGCGGGAGGTAGTATCGCGATATAAGAAGAGACGACTGAGTGGGCAATGGACAGATCCGAGAGCCGTAGTCGCCGCTGCCGCCGCCGCGGCCGCCGCGAGACCCGAGAACCGCCGCAGCCACGGAGCGAGTGGCCGAGCCGATTCGCTGCGCGGGTGGAAACGCTCTTGGTGCTTGCATGTGAGTGCGACGATAACGTACGCTTTATTACATTAGGATCAGCAGGCTATTGCATGATCACAAACTGGAGAAGGGGCGACGGCGGTTGGGGGGTTGGATTGGAAAAGGGGGTTTGTCTGTTTTCTGATTCCGAGTGGCGGGAAGGAGAAAATGGCGGGATGGTGTCAGGATGACGCAGAGTGCGCTGGTTACCAGATAGTTCGCAACAGGATGTATCAGATGGGATGAAAGCTGTACGCATTACAAGCCCAACGAGTTTCGTTCCAAAAAAGAATGTATAGTTTATCCATCATCCTTAATGGCGAATATGAACAGAGAACTACAGAAACGAATCTTTTATTCCACTAATATACAAGTGCGCATAACATCAACATCTATACATCTAATCTATTGTTGGAAATACGCCTAAAGAACCAACCAACATAAAGACAAGTGACAGCAAAGCAGGTACACCAGATTCGAAGTAAAAATTTTGCAATAACGACCCTTCCTCCGCTATTCCACCCGCACGCTGAAAGCAGGGGCATGAATCTCTCACACTCATAACAAACAGCAGATTTTGCAAGTCAAACAAGCTTCCTGACAATAATATTTCACACAAGCATGCACCAGATGCATACATGCATCCATGCACCACGGGCCTATGCGTGCATGAACCCAGCCCAAGCATGCAACATGCATGACCATCCACGCACAACCCTAGCCAGCTGCCCCTCCCATCTCCCTGATAACCCCAACCACCAAGTGCATTGCCATCACTCCAACAGCCTCTAGGCTCACTGCATCTCAGGCCTGCCAATGCCCCTACAGCATGGCAAAAGGGGACTTACTCATTACTCTCGTTCGCATGCATGCAGCCATGGCATGCCTAAACTCGAGCCATGACCCCATCATCATGTGACCTCAGCGATCCCCCCTTAGAAACCCCTGCCTGAGTTTCACCCATGGCACAAGGTGGGAAGCAGGCACAAAGCGGGCATGATCAGTTGGCCCTGCATCATTTGCTCCTGCCCGACCTACCATGTGGGACTCAGGACCCACCCACCCACCCACCCACCCACCCAAGGGACTTCAACCCCCTTCTCTACCACTCAAACGCCATAGGACTTCAGCCCTTCAAGTCATCCCTTACTCAAATTACATTTGGGGGAATCAGACCTCCCTCATTCACCTGTCACTCAACTTAACCTCGTCCCTTACAGTGCTTACACAACCAGCACACAACTGCCCACATACCCACTCACCCACCTGCCCACCCACTCAGGCACCTACTCACCCGCCCATAGTCCCATCCACCCAACCCCAACCACCGACCACCCGCCTTCCAACCACCCATCACACAACCAGCAAGGCACTCCCCAAGCCACCCATACACATACCCAGCCACTCACACACGTCGAACCCACTCACCATTTCCCAACAACCCAGCACCCTCCCACCCATACCCTCCACCATCCATCCACCAACCTGCCTACCAACCATCCGCCAACCACCTACCCAGAACCACACATTCAACCCACACACCTACACCTTCCCACCCACCCACCTACCCAGAACCACCCATTCAACCCACACACCTACACCTTCCCACCCACCCACCTACCCAGAACCACCCATTCAACCCACACACCTACACCTTCCCACCCACCCACCTACCCAGAACCACCCATTCAACCCAGACACCTACACCTTCCCACCCACCCACCTACCCAGAGCCACCCATTCAACCCACACACCTACACCTTCCCACCCACCCACCTACCCAGAACCACCCATTCAACCCACACACCTACACCTTCCCACCCACCCACCTACCCAGAACCACCCATTCAACCCACACACCTACACCTTCCCACCCACCCACCTACCCAGAGCCACCCATTCAACCCACACACCTACACCTTCCCACCCACCCACCTACCCAGAACCACCCATTCAACCCACACACCTACACCTTCCCACCCACCCACCTACCCAGAACCACCCATTCAACCCACACACCTACACCTTCCCACCCACCCACCTACCCAGAACCACCCATTCAACCCACACACCTACACCTTACCACCCACCCACCTACCCAGAACCACCCATTCAACCCACACATCTACACCTTCCCACCCACCCACCTACCCAGAACCACCCATTCAACCCACACACCTACACCTTCCCACCCACCCACCTACCCAGAACCACCCATTCAACCCACATACCTACACCTTCCCACCCACCCACCTACCCAGAACCACCCATTCAACCCACACACCTACACCTTCCCACCCACCCACCTACCCAGAACCACCCATTCAACCCACACACCTACACCTTCCCACCCACCCACCTACCCAGAACCACCCATTCAACCCACACACCTACACCTTCCCACCCACCCACCTACCCAGAACCACCCATTCAACCCACACACCTACACCTTCCCACCCACCCACCTACCCAGAACCACCCATTCAACCCACACACCTACACCTTCCCACCCACCCACCTACCCAGAACCACCCATTCAACCCACACACCTACACCTTCCCACCCACCCACCTACCCAGAACCACCCATTCAACCCCCACACACACACCCTCCCACACCCACTGCCCAAACTCCAGCCACCTACCCTCACACCTACCCACCTACCCCCACCCACCCACACCCGCCACTTTACCTGCCCCTCCCCACCATTCACCTGCAAGCAGCAGCACCCACCCAAGGGGATACAGGACCCTTCCTTCCAACTCACCCAACCAAGGGGATTCAGGCCCCTTCCTTCCAACTCACCCACCCAAGGGGATTCAGTCCCCTTCCTCCCAACTCACCCACCCAAGGGGATTCAGGCCCCTTCCTTCCATCTCACCCACTTAAGGGGATTCAGGCCCCTTCCTTCCTCTCACCACCATCACCTTCCCAGCATCCCCCACGCTCCCAACCATTACCTGTCAGCAGTAGGAGCAGCAAACAGCTCACTTCCTTAGAAAAACAACACCCCCAGAGGCCGTGCCTTGTGGGGCGAGGTGCGGTAGTCGAAAATTGCTTCCAGCCCAAGACTCAAATCCCACCCCTGACGTAGCCAGAGATGACGCGAACCAGAGCCGCCGGCCGGTCGGCTCTGACGGTGTCCATTAGGCCTTGAACGCCAGATCGGAACCTGAGCACCGAGTGCCGTGCCGCACAGATTCCACCCACAACACCCCACCACCACAAGGCACAACCCCAGGAGATGCTGTCCCTAAGGCAGTGAACTCCCCGCTTGCTCCCATGCTCCCCACCCACCCACCCCACACTTCACCCCCATGCCTACTCACCTGTACCTACCACAGCCGTGCAGAGCACCATGATGTGAGGCTGCTGGGAAGTGGAGAGAGAAGGGGGATTAGGGGAGGGAGAGACTCCTCTGTGGCCCAGGCAGGGTGCTGCTGGGAGGGAAAGGAGAAGGGAGAGAGGAGGAGGTGAGTGCGGGGGTAGACTCCACTCCAGTGCTCCCACATTCAGCCTGCAGGGAGAAGGGGGAAGAGAGAGAGGAGGGGATCAGCTTACCATACCACACCTGTACCATACCACACCTGTACCATACCACACCTGCACCGTACCACACCTGCACCATACCACACCTAGTCTGCCCTCTAAGCCCCCAGACCCCACTGCTGCTGTTGACACTTCTTCTGCTGCTACTGCTGCAACTGCTGCTGCCGGTCTGCTACACTGCTTCCCCTTCATCTGCAGCTGCCCCTCTCCTCCCCACATCTGCTGCCCCCTACTACCCTGCTGCTGCCCTGCTGCTGACCCCTGCTGCCCTGCTACAGCCTTCAATGTACTGGGAGGGAGGGAGAGGGAAGGAAACAGGGAGCAAGGGACAGCAGTGAGAGTTGGGAAAACAGCAAGCATGAGGCAGGGAGGGAGCAAAAACGAGAAGTGAGCAGAGAAGACCAAGCAGCAGCACAAGCGCACGAGGGAAAAGAGGCTCACCTTGCTCCAGACGCCCAATCCCGATACTCTCCCATTCCATCCCAGCCGAGTGGAGTGCTGCCCCCCTCCCCTCCCACCACTGCCACCTGCACGGCCACAGGGGAGGGGTGCGGGGGAATGGCGGTGTTGACCCCTACGCCCCTCCCCTCCACCTGCAAGGAGAGAACTGAAGAGAAGTGAGTAAGCGGCTAGGGGTAACAATGTAAAGGAAGTACATGGTTGGGGTGGGGTGGGGTGACAGCAGGAAAGGGGGCCACTGGTGCAGCCTCAGCTACAAGCCACAGACCCAAAGGGGCTATATACAAAGGGAGGCTTAACCTGAGAGAATACCTTCTGTACCTGGGGTGGATTACCAAAACAAAGGGGTCTGTGGCTTGAAGTTGTAGCACGACCAGAGGCTCAGGTTTAGAGGGAGGCTCAGGTCTCTTGGGTGCGACAGAGGGCAGCACATGAAAAGCAACACAGTGCGAGGGTTTGGAGAAGAGAGGAAGGGCGGGGAACTTAGCTGTAGGTGGGTTGGTGGAGAGAAGCTGCTGCCTCTGCACTACATGTCCCCCACCACTGCCACTCCCGTGTGAGCGACCTGCTGGGACGAGAGGGGGCAGGTCGGGACAGAGAGAGGAAGGGGGAGGAGGGGGGGGAGAAAACGGGGACGTGAAGGGGGCGCAGGGGAGTGGGGAGAGCAGTGAGGAAAGAAGCCAAGACAAGGGAAAGTGAAGAGTGCAGCAAGCGCAAGCATGATGCGTGCATGAATGGACTGCTGCAGTGGCACACCCAAGAGACCTCGTACCAGCTGAACCAAACCAAAACAAATACCTGAGGCTGTACCAACAAAAAATATACCTACTACCTTGGGGGAGGGAGGTCTAATGGGTGTGACAAAGAGCAGTGATAAAGTGAGTGTAATGTATGGTGCAAGCATGAGAAGCAATGCAACACAGTGCGAGGGTTGGGAGAAGAGAGGAAGGGCGGGGTACTTAGCTGTGGGTGGGTTGGGTGGAGAGCAGCTGCTGCCTGTGCACTCCACGTCAGCCGCCACTGCCACTCCCGGTCTGCTACTCTGCTTTCCCTGCTGCTGCCGCTGCCCCTCCCCTCCCCTCCGCTGCTGCCCTGCTGCTGCCCCCGTGCTGCCCTGCTACAGCCTTCAATGTACTGGGAGGGAGGGAGCAAGGCAGGGGTAGGCAGGGGATCAAGGGACAGCAGTGAGAATGGGGAGAAGAGTAGGCAGAAGCTACAAGGAACCAAGGGAGCAGAAACGGGAAGTGAGCATGGGGAGAAGAACAAGCAGCAGCATGAGTGCACGAGGGAAAAGAGGCTCACCTTGTTCCAGACGACCCAATCCCGATACTCTCCCATCCCATCCCATCCCAGCCGAGTGGAATGCTGCCCCCCTCCCCTCCCACCACTGCCACTCCCGTATGAGCGACCTGCTGGGACGGGAGGGGGCGGGTTGGGACAGAGAGAGGAAGGGAGGAGGGGGGGAAGAAAACGGGGAAGTGAAAGGGGCGCAGAGGAGTGGGGAGAGCAGTGAGGAAAGAAGCCAAGACTAGTGAAAGTGAAGAGTGCAGCAAACGCAAGCATGATGTATGCATGAATGGACTGCTGCAGTGGCACAGCCAAGAGACCTCGTACCAGCTGAACCAAACTAAAACGTATACCTGAGGCTGTACCAAGAAAAAATACCTGTTACCTTGGGGGAGGGAGGTCTAACGGGTGTGACAAAGAGCAGTGAAGACGGGAGTGTGATGCATTGTGCAAGCATGACAAGCAAAGCAATACAGTGCGAGGGTTGGGAGAAGAGAGGAAGGGCGGGGTACTTAGCTGTGGGTGAGTTGGGTGGAGAGCAGCTGCTGCCTGTGCACTCCATGTCCCCGCCACTGCCACTCCCGTGTGAGCGACCTGCTGGGACGAGAGGGGGCAGACCGGGACAGAGAGAGGAAGGAGGGAGGGGGGGAGAAAACGGGGAAGTGAAGGGGGAGCAGAGGAGTGGGGAGAGCAGTGAGGAAAGAAGCCACGACATGTGAAAGTGAAGAGTGCAGCAAGTGCAAGCATGATGCGTGCATGAATGGACTGCTGCAGTGCCACACCCAAGAGACCTCGTACCAGCTGAACCAAACTAGAAAGAATACCTGAGGCTTTACCAGGAAAAAATATATGTGCTACCTTGGGGGAGGGAGGTCTCATGGGTGTGACAGAGGGCATAGATAAAGGGAGTATGATGCATGGTGCAAGCACGACATGAAAAGCAACAGATTGTGAGGGTTGAACAAGGCACTTAGCTGGCGGAGAAAGAAGCACCGAGAGCTGATGTTGCGGACGACGATTTCGCCGTGCGACGACGTGCGGACGACGATTTCGCCATGCGACGACGCGCGGGTGACGGTTCCGCCGCGCGACGACGCGCGGACGACGGTTTCGCCGTGCGACGATAAGCGCGCGGGAAGGAGCAGGCAGCGACGTTCAAGAGCACAACGGCGCGGACCCCATCGTACCTCGTCGTCGCTCTCGTCTTCGCCTCCCCTCGCACCAACATTCCACGCCCAAAAACATTTCTCGCGACGCCCGATCAACGACTTCCAACGGAGGATGCGACGAAATCGACGGTCTAAAACGGCAGGAGGCGACGCTGCCTGCCTGCTGAGCGATGCTCTGTCACGCCTCTTCCTAGCGATCTCCGAGCTCCGCCTTTTCTCGTCCCATGGAACAAATCGGTCGCAAGCGAAAGAATAATCGCAGCGTAAGCGTTTCGTCGGAGATTGTGGAGCAACTATCGCTGAGCAACTGGTGGTGAGCAACTGGTGGTGAGGAGCAGAGTGAAGGGCGAATGGAAGCAGGCAGACTGCGTGTGGTGAGGAATGTGGCAAGTGCTGTCTGCCTTCCTCCTCCCCAACCAACCTCGAGAATTCCGACCCCGCCGCTCCCACGCGCGCAGGGCAACGGCGAGTCAAGGGCGGTGGAAATTCGATGAGCGAAATGTGTTGGCGAAATTTGAACTCCCTCGAGGGTGAACAATTGTGGCAATTTGTTGTTACAAACGATTTGACGATTATGGCTACTTTCGTGACACTGCCCCCAAGCAGATTTCGCAAAGGAGAAAGGGGTTGTTGGTCGCAAGTTTGCGGAAGCGCAACCCCCGAAAGTCTGACACAAAGGCGGATTTGCGCCGACTTTCCGGAGAATGGGGCGCGAGTTCGCCAAAGTTCAGGCGCTTGCTCCAACGGCTAGGCTTCGGGTTGCGCAAATTTGGGGTTTGCGGGAAGGCTCCGCCAAATGGGTCCAGCATTCCTGCCACTCGCTGCGCACCCCTGATCAACCTGAAGATGACAGAGAACTACAAAAATGAATATCGGCTTCGCTATGATATATAAGTTTGCATAGCATCAACATCGATTCACCAAATATAATGTTGTGTAACCTCTCCACGTTATATGCATGCTGTTGCCATGTGTTACTGTATTTTGCAAGCATGATGTGGATGTGTGTGGAGGTGAACAACTCAATCAAGACAATTTCTCAAGTGACATACCGTACAGGTATCAACTCAGGCTCCACTTTGCAAACTCAATTCGGAGCTGTTTGCTTGCAGCAGTTAAATCTCTAGTGAAATAAATAGGCCATAACCTACACTCTTAAGCAACGAGCAGTCAAATCAGACTATGGTACAAGGTGCACCTAGGTGCCAACACAGAAAATGGAGACATGACAGTAGGCAGAATGGTGAGGGCAAAGCAGCAATGCAAAGAAACCCGAAGGGACAAGACAACCTCACCAATCTACATGGTACCATGGACCATGTTGGGCCATACTGTTCCAGATAGTGCCACACAGACACGCACATACAAACACACCTGCACATGCTCTCACACGATCACAGAGTCACAGACCCTCACTTGGACGCGAGTGCACAGCACATACACACGCACACACACGCAAACCCAGACACACACGCATCAATCCGTGCGAAAATTATTACCGTACCTGCTTAATTCACCGTACCTCTCTTCCCACCTCGTCCTCCCATACACCGTCATCCCCACCCAGGCCAACCCCCATTCCAACTCCATCCCTCCACCCCTTGATACGTCACGACTCTCGCCCTGCCTTGCCCCTTTGTTCAGAGCTTAGGCTGCTACCCCTAGGGGCCACCCATGCCACTCTCCGCCCCCGCACAAGCAGCGTCTGACCCTGCCCTGCTGCTGCAGCAGCGGGAGTACTAGCAGCAACACCAGCAGACCCACGGGTGTTACCCTCTGCAGCACCAGTTTTACCAGCAGCAGGAGAAGCAGCAGCAGGAGAAGAAGCAGTAGAAGCAGCAGCAGCAGGAGAAGTCACTGGTTGGTTCTCCAGACTCTTTCTGCTGCTGCTGCTGTGGCTGCTGCTGCTGCTGGTGCCGTCACTCTCCCCGCTCTCGCTGCCTTTCTCCTGAATCATGCTGCTGCGCTTGGGCTTTCTCCTTGACCCCACCCGGCTGAACTGACCCGCACGATTGCTGCTCCCAGGGGACGGGAGGGACAGGCTGGGAGCAGCAGCTGGGGCAAGAGAAGAAGCGAGGACAGCACAAGGAGCGTCAGCTGCGGCTGCTGCGGCTGTTGCTGCTGTTGACGACGCTGACAGGGCTGGTAGAGTTGAAAGTGCATTGGGATCAAGGAGACTGGTAGGATTATCCGTTCCTCCAGTGCTGTCCTGTTGCCTTCTTTTCTCAACGCCCTCCCTTCGTCCAGTGACTGCTGCCACTGCTTGGGAGGGCCCCACGTGTACCTCGTGTGCTTGGCCCCCTATCCCATCGGCAGCAGCACCACTGCCATCAATTCTGTCAGCCACAGAATCGCTTGCACCACCACTTTCAGCAGGAGCAGTAGCAACAGTACAAGTAACAGCAGCTTCTCCAGCAGCAGCAGCAGCAGCGACGGCAGCAGCACTAATATCTGTGCCTGCACCCATGGCTGCATGGTACACCGGATCCACACCCACTTGACCTCCTTCTCTTCCTCCACCACTTCCTCTGCTCCTCTCCACCAACCCATCCCTGCCCTCTGCAACCCTGCCTCCCTCCCCCCCCACCTCCCTCCCATCTCCAACCCTCCCATGCTCTTCCTCCCCTTCCTCCACCTCCTCCCCTTCCTCTGCTTCCCCCCCTTCCTCCCCTCCACTCCCTTGCTCCACCTCTGCTGCTTCCTCCTCTTCTGGCTCCTCCTCCACCTTCCCCAACTGCCGCCCCCAGCTGCTTCCCCCATTCCTGTGGCTGCTGCTGCTGCCACCGCCACTCCTCCTGCTGCTCTTCCCCACTATCCTTCCATCCCCATCCCCGCCCCCTCCTCCTCCCCCAATCCCCCCAGCTCCTCCACTTCCCAACGCCCCATCAGAATCTAGGCTCGCCTGCACGGAAACAGAACCATCAGAGCTCCCCTCGCCACTCCCTGCCGCCGGTCCCCCATTCTCCTCCTCATGCGACCCATCTAAACGCGCTTTGGCATCCTCAGAAACCCTCCCTGCACTCCTAGACCCACTTCTGCCAACACCAGCACCAGCGCCATCGCCATTACCAGCACCAGCACCAGCACCAGCACCAGCACCAGCAGCAGCAGCAGCAGCGGCAGCGGCAGCTGAAGAACCAGAAAAACCGCCCCCTTGGTCTGTATCCCCGCCAAGCTCGTCCTTTTGCTGGTCGTCCATGTGAATAAACCCTTTGTTGAAAGCGATGTAGGCCGGTCGAGAGAGGCGCGGATCTGTTGATCTCAGAAACCGAAGCAGCTCTCTGCGCGAACACGTAACAGTTACCGCACCCTTCTTTCCCTTCCCACTCGCCCTGCCCCTACCCCCACTAGAAGTACCAACGGCATCAACACCGCCATCACCCTCTCCTTCCTCTCCCTTACTCTCCTCCTCGTTCTCACCTTCCCCTCCTTCCTCACCTTCCTCACCCTCCTCCCCATCCTCCTCCTCCTCCCCTTCATCATCCGACCCATTGAAAGCAAGCACACTCTCAGTGGCCTCAGGTCGTCTCATGGCCCGCACCAGCAGCTTCGCTCTGGGGTCACGCAGGGGGATCACATTAACCTGCAATGCCCGCTCCTCAACCCCACTGCTGCTGCTGCTGCTACCGCTGCTACCGGCACCAGCACCAGCAGCAGCAGCACCACCACTAGCAGCAGCACCAGCTGACGTGAAAGCTGACTCTTGCCCTGTGCCGGCTGACAGAGACGACGCGTCAGAGTCACTATGATACAGGCGCGGGGGTGTGGCGGAGGAGGGGGGTGCGCGGGGAGGAGTGGCTATGTGAGAGGGGGTGGAGGTACCAGAGATGGACGAGTGAGGGGGGGTAGAGGGAGGGGGGTGCGGGTGAGAGGGAGTGAGAGGGGGGGTGTGAAGGGGACTGGAAAGGCCGAGCTTGCTTGAGTCATGGCTGGTGTCAGAACCAGTGGTCGCACCACCACCGCGCTCCTGCTCCTGCCCATCCCTATCCCCGTTCCCCTTCACTTGCCCGCTTCCCACCTCCTGCCCTTCCCCCTTCCCTTCCCTCCTGCCCTCCGCTCCCCTCCCCCTCTCCTCCCCCTTCAAAAACGCCGGGGTGCGTGGCGGAACGCGCGCCACGAGGCGCTGCCAGGCGGCGTGCGCCTCCGCCACGAGCTTCCCCGCTAGGAACGCGTCCCCCGCGCGCTCGTTCAGCCCGAAAACCCACTCGCGGTCGTGCGCGTGCACGCGCTCGCTCTGCCGCAGCCACTCGCGCACCTCTTCCAGCGTCCCAGGCATCACGCGGTGCACGTCCCCCGCGTCACTCACTCGCCGCGCGCGCCTGTCGCTCACCGCCATGCCCAGAAGCTTCCAGGAAAGGCGCATGGTCGGCAGGTCCACGAGCGCGAACGCAGATACCACCTTCACCGCGTAAACCTGTTGGGAGGGGATGGGGGAAACTAGATTGTGAATCAAGAGGGGTGCGTGAGAGGCGGGGTGACGTGGGCGTGGAAGAAAGACGGTGACGGGAACTTGAGGGGAGGGGAGGGCGAGGCGGACGTGGGTAAAACGGGATGGTGAAGAGAAAGACGACGTGCGAGGAGCGGGGATGGCAGAGGAACCGCCGGGGCGCGCGCGCACCTGTCCTCTCTTGCGCGCTTTGCGCCCTAGCTCCACCATTTCCAGCGGCCGCCCGTCGTAGCGCAACCCCAGGTAGTCCAGATTCGGCAGCTCCGGGTCCGCCCACGTCTGCGGCAGCATCACCACGTTCCACGGGCAGTTCGACGCGTAATGCAGCGGAACCACGGCGGAAGAAACACTCCCCGCGGCTACGCCCATACCTCCGCCGATCCCTGCGCCGCTACCTCCCCCCCACGCGCCTTCCGCTCCCTCGATGCTCGCTGATTCCCCCAGCGCTTTGCGCGCAAGCCTCAGCGGGGAAAACTCTTCATCCGCTGCCACTTCGAAGCGCGCCCAGGATTTCTTAGGCGTCGTGCACACTACGTGCACGTGCCCGTTGCGGGTATTAAGAGGTATGTGGTGCCAGGGGGAGCACGTGCGCCCGAGGCGGTCTTTAAAGCGCATGCGGTACTCTAAGCTGCCCGCGACGCCACTATCCACCGTCTGCCACGTGTACGCATCCGCAGCGCCGCCGCCAGCGCCAGCCGCGCGGAAGGCACCACTACCACTAAGACCGAAAGATCCAGTTCTTGAAACGCCGCCTCTTCCGCCGCCGTCCCCGCCGCTGGCGCTGCAGGCACCGGTGCGGTCCCGCAGATCTACGGGACTGGCGGTGGTGGTAAGCGGTGGAGTGGGCGAGAAAGCGCGGTCATCGGCGGAACCGGCGGGAACGGCTCCGGATGGGAGGAGCCTGTGAAGCGCGCCGAGCGTGGGCGACGCGGCGGAAGAGTCAGAGGCGGAAGCGGAGACGGACGAAGAGGGAGTGGCACGCGATGGATGCTGATCCTTGTTGCTTCGAGAATGTTGAGAGCGGGAAAGCGAGGACGTGGCGGTAAGCGGAACAGGTTGATGCCGCTCGACATGCTTAGCGAGCACATCCCTGTTGGCGGACATGACGGTAGCAACAAACAGCAGTGAGGGAGCAATACAACTAAATCTGGCGAATCTTCGTCAACAAATGCTTCTATTACTGCTGCTGACCTAATCTTCGTGTATCACGGAAAACCGCCGCACTCAGCCATCTCTGTTGGTGAAGCTCAGCAGCTAGATGTGGCGCTTCGACAACCCTAGAAATTACCTATCTGCAAAGAACAGAAGTGATACGCTGTTCTCGTGCCAGACAATGAGAGAAGGCCATCGTAGGTCGTGGTGCTTCGGAGTTTTATACACATGATGCCCAACCACTGCGCGCAAATTTTCCTTCACATTTCAGAAACTCTGCACCCGTGCTTTTTTTCCCGGTCAGTTGCACCCAGGGTATAGGCACGCGGATCAACTTGCATTTGGGCGAGAAAACGCCAAAGTATGAATCTTAGGCGCAAAACAAACCATGCTGACCCGGTTTGTTCTTGTTTCTTGGCCAGAAACGAGCATAAACCCGAAACCCTGAACTAACAACAACACAGGCCCACCAGCACTGTTTTGGAAAAAACAAACGAGTTACAACCTGTGTTTTTTAGAAGCACCTCAACACCCTGGCGAAATGGAACGAACTGGGTGAAATGCCCAAAACGTTTATAAGCCCAGAGCACAACCCAAGTTGGGGGGACTCAAACGGGCATCAGGTGTAAGGTGAGGGCTGTTCCTCGGTCATGACTCATGTGGTTCGGAACGAGCGTCTCGAGACTTGAGGGCTATTTTCTGGACCTTGAGAAAATCTGGCCAGCCAGTCTCTGTTGAAGGTTGGTTGGAGTGGCGCGAAGCATGTGAGAAGAACAGACATAGCACGTGCATGTTAGGCCCCTTGGCCTAAATCCTCTAAAGAATAGCGGGGTAGACTAAGTCTAGGATGAAAACGCGGCGGAAGACTTTGGCGAAAGAACTATTGGCGAAATAGGCGAAGAAGTTACTGAGTAATTGAAGAGTTGAATGAGAATTGGTTGATATTGGGAATACAAGCAAGGTTGATATAGCATGCAAGATCGAATGATGGAAAGTACTTCGTGGGACTAGAAAGTAGAAGCAAGAAAAGTAGAGTGCCATGTGGCACAAGGAAATCAAGGAAGATAAGGATAAGGGTGAGTTGGAAAGTACTGTTCAAAGGGAACAGTAAATCCCCCCTTAACACTACCCCCCTCCCAAGGAGGCGACGTTCGCGGCGCCTGCAGCCTGAAGGTACGCTTGGAGGTAAGCGTTGTCAGGAGACAGTGAGGACGAAGGAACCCAGCTGTCGTCTGCTGCGTCGTAACCACGCCAACGAACCAAGAAGTCGATGAAAGAGACACCCCCCTGGAGACGGCGACGGTGCCTGAGGATGCGCTGGATCTGGTAGTCGGGCTCGTCTGTGTCAACAGCTACCGGCAGTGGAGTGCGATCACGGCTCGGGAATGTGGCGTTGGGATCGGTGTATGGACGAAGGAGAGACACGTGGAATGACGGGTGCATGCGGAAATGAGCGAGAAGGCGGAGGCGGTATGCGACTGGACCTAGTGCGCGCTCAATGACAAATGGACCAATGAAACGAGGGCGAAGCTTGCTGTCCTGTGGCAGTCGGAGGTTGCGGCTATCCAAAAGAATACGGTCGCCGACTGCGAACAACACCTCACGACGACTGCGGTTGGTGGTGCGTGCCATGCGTGCATTTGCGAGCTCAAGGTGCTTCCTCACGTGATCATGAATGAGGGTGAGATGCTGGTGGAAGTTGTCCGCACGAGGGACAGTGGGTGTGAGATCGACACGAGTGGGGACATTAGGGTGCTGACCGTACAGTGCGAAAAACGGTGACATGCCTGTGGACGAGTGATGGGTGTTGTTGTAGGCGAACTCGGCCATGCTCAGCTTCTTGTCCCATGCGGCTATGTCGTGCATCGTGATGCTGCAAAGAATCTGCTCCAAGGTCTGGTTCACACGCTCAGTCTGTCCGTCTGTCTCTGGATGGTACGCAGACGACATGGCTAAGCGAGTCCCAAACAGTGCGAAAAGCTGCTTCCATAACTTCGAAGTGAAATGAGGGTCGCGGTCTGAGATGATGGAATCAGGAACCCCGTGCAGTCGGACTACGTTATCTACGAACAGCGTCGCGGCTTCCTCTACTGAGACCTTGCCGTGCGTGGGGATGAAGTGCGCTGCTCGAGAAAACTTATCCACTACCACGAAGATGGCGTCATGGCCCCTAACTGTGCGCGGTAAAGCCATAATGAAGTCCATCGTAACTACCTGCCAAGGGCGGTCGGGTGGTGGAATCGGCTGCAAAAGTCCTGCCTTGCGCTGGCGAGAGGACTTCGTACGCTGACACGTGTCGCACGAGCGAATGTAATCCTCTACGTCTGCTGCAAGCCCTGCCAGAAGTACGTGCGACTAAGCGTCTTAGCCGTCCTATCCGCTCCAAAGTGACCTGCACTAACGACATCGTGCGCCTCGGAAAGAAGAAGCTGTCGAAGAGGGCGGTAGGCGGGAACCCAAATCCGTGCTGTCCCCTTCTGTATGTAGACACTACCCTGCACCTCTGCTCCTGCGGGCGGCTGCGGTATGAAGTCGGGATCTACTGTGTAACTGTGCTCGAAGAGTGCTGTGAGAAGTGGATGGCCGGCAGTGACTGTGAGGCTGGCGAGCTGGCAACTAGGGCGAGTGAGCGGATCTGCTGGGTTGCGCACGCCTGGCTTGTACTCTATCCTGTAGTGGAAACTCCCCTCCATGAACTCCATCCATCTAGCCTGGCGACGACTCAGCTGCGGCTGCGACTTGAGGAAACGAAGCGAGCAATGGTCCGTGCGTATAACACTATCTGCCCCCTCTAGGTAGCACCTCCAGACCTTATACGCATGGATGATCGCGAGCGCCTCCTTGTCGTGAATCGGATAGTTCAGCTCCGCTCCCCTAAGCTTACGCGACTCGTATGCTATCGGCTGCAACCCACGGCCCTGGTCCTGAAGAAGCACTGCTCCAATCGCCCGATCTGATGAGTCGGTCACTACAACGTACGGGCGAGCGGGATCTGGGTACAACAGTGTCGGTGAAGACGTGAGCGATTGCTTCATCTGCTCGAACGCCTGCTGATGCACTGGACCCCAATCGAAATCTACGCCCTTCCGAAGTAGGTCGGTGAGTGGACTAGCGATCGATGCGTAACCCTGAACGAAACGACGGTAGTAATTCGCGAATCCGAGAAAGCTCTGCAACTCCTTGACTGAGGTCGGAGCTATCCAGTTCTGTACTGCTGCGATCTTCTTCGGGTCGGTCCTAATGCCACTAGAAGATACGACATGACCTAGAAACATGACTTCGGGGAGGAAGAACTCGCACTTCGACTGCTTAGCGTACAACTGCTCCTTCCGCAAGACCTCGAAGACCTTCTGTAAGTGCTGCACGTGCTCCTCTCTCGTCTTGGAGAAGATTAGGATGTCGTCTAGGTAAACTACGACGAACGATCCTAGGAACTCGGAGAGGACGGTGTTCATGAGCGTCTGAAACGTCGCTAGGGCATTGGTCAATCCGAACGGTAGGACCCTGAACTCGTACAACCCCTGCTTCGTACGAAACGCCGTCTTGTCCTGATCCTCCGGAACTACTCGAATCTGGTGATATCCTGAGCGAAGCTCGATCTTGGAGAAAACTCTAGCGCCCTGCACTGCATCTAGGAGATCCTTTACTCTCGGCACTGGGACTCTGTTCTTCACGGTGGTGGCGTTCAGTGCGCGGTAATCTATGCACATCTGTAACCCTCCGTCTTTCTTAGGCGCGAAAAGGATCGGTGCTGCCCAAGGCGATCGGTGCTGCCCAAGGCGAGCATCTAGGAAACTAGGCTTAGGTTTAGGAGCCATAGTTAGGAGTAGGGCCTAGGCTTAGTAGCCTAGGCCAAGGGGGTATCGAGATGGTTGTGGCAAGGAGGGAGTCGAGAGAATGGAATGGTGTTCACTATAGCAAGAGGGTACATATAGCAAACAAGTGAAGAAAGAGGTGCACCACATATAAAGTTAATATCTACACTACAGCTAGAACTACATGCAGTTATATATAATTCTGACATCCCCCCGTAACTGCATGCAGGAATAGCTAAGTGAAAGACACAACCTGCAGGGGTACACCACAGACAGAGAAAACAGCAACAGCAGGCAAGGCAGCAGAACAGGTTCGGCAGCAAAGGGGCAGGCGACAGCAAGGCACTTCTGCCACCCCCTTACTCTCCTCCCCCCTCCGACCACAAGAGGGGCGGCAGGGAGAGAGAGGAGGCGGGCTGGCGCTGGCTGGTCACCCCCTCCATCCCCTCACCCTCCCCCTCCCCCCCAGTGGCAGCTGCAGCAATGGGAGCGAAAGGAGGAGGAGGGGGGGGGAAGCACACTCCAAGCACCCCCACACCCGCCACCCCCACACCCTCCACGCGACGGGCGACGGGGGGGTGGGGGGGGGGGGGGGGAGGAAGGGCGGCAGAGCAGAACAGAGCGCACGAGGGCGCGGGCCGCGGGAGA